GAGCACGCCACGTCTCGTGCTAACCTCAGCTAATGTCTGAGTGTCGTGTGCGTGGTTAAATACAAGTTACATGTGCAAAGGTTGCATGGTTTACACGTCAAAGCATGGATATTTGAAAGGATATGGAAAGCCATCCGGTTCATAAACATGTGACTTCTAACACGTAAACAATGCGTACCGGATGGCTTTCCATAAAAGGATTCTGTTAGAAAGGGAGTTTTCYTTCTGAATTCCTTAACATGATATTATAAGTAGATATAATCTACACAGATTACACAGATTTTACTTACTGCATCGCAAATGTGTCAAACTCAAGGCCTGCGGGTGACTTCTGTCTTTTCTGTCATGCTGAATTCAATAGAAAAATAGATTTTGAGTTAAATAACTTTTAAGTTTTGATTCAGTCCTACAAAATAATCAAATTTAAAACATCAAAGATATTAATACTTATTCGGCCCCTAAATTGTTGGCTTTGAATGCTGTTGAGTAACTGTGTTAGCTGAATGACCCTGTACTAATGTCTCAAAATAAGCTGCTTTAAAGCCAGCATTGACCATAAACTCCATCTCCCATGATGCATTTCCATTATTTTACCTGAGAAATGATGACATCCCACCGCTAGGTGGAGCTGCAMAAGGTTCAAGGCAAAACTCAACGTATAAAATCGACATTAGCTTCATTTTTAGCAGCTACTTTTGATGTTGCCCAGTTGTACTGGTAAATGACGGGAATTTCCCACTTAAAAGTCATGAATTTAAACTGGAAAGTACTTCCAGTGGGAATTCCATGTAGGAAAGTGGGAGAGTTCAGAATTCAAGATGGCAGCCACTCACCACAACTCAACAGTGAGTTAAACTCTCCTGTTTACTTCTAATAGTATTTCTGTATTATTTACTTTACTTTTAGTCAGTCGTACACATAGTATGCTTTTCAGTGTTTATAAGAGGATGTGTTAAAATGTTGTTTCTATGCAGGAAATACCACGTAGAGCTCACTTATTGATTGTCAGCGGTGCTCAGCCGTAGCAATGAGACAAGGAACACGTTAAAAGAACATGTTTAGTCCAAGTTAAACATGAAACATCGATGCTCGTGTGGCCCTCGATGAAAATGAGTTGACACCAGAGGAAGAACTTAAAAACAATTTGACATTCAGATTTACATTTGATATTTTTTTCTGTTTTTTTATGTTCTATTTTGCACTTTACTTTCCTCTGTTAGAGGAAAATAAGATGTCAGAAAATGCCAAAACAAAAGTACCACTTTTTTTTTAAATACGGGACTTCTGGAAGATCGTTTTGTGATTTCTAAACRCTTCCACGATAAGGCACGAGAAAGGGGCGGTGCAGAAACTGTGATCCAAGAGCAACATCATCCAAGTTCAAGCAGAAACATTACAAACTGCATTTCTGTTTATCTATCATTCACATTCAACAAAAAGTATTCCACTGTGCAGAAATAAAAAGGGCAGCGGAACTTTTTTTAAACAGCACTAGCTGGCCCTAAGGCAACAATCCTGTACAGCAGAATCTGACACTATTGCTTCAGTTAAAATGAGTTTTTACATTCAAGACATTTTATGTTCCGGTGAAATTGAAAACAGCATCTCTAAGCCTCATTAACATTAAATGGGGTGTTTTTAAAACATAGCAGAAACATTGCCAGCTGTGTTCAATTCACTGTCAGAGTAACCCCCCCCCCCCCCCCAAAACGACTATTTGACTTTGATTTCATCTGAAGAGGCGACCTGACGGCTTGTAGTGCAGTGTGAGCTGGCGGGTGCTGTAACCAGACATACCAAAGCCCACGAGGCCCAGCAGGACGGCCACACGTGGCATGGCAGACCTGTCGTCAGCTGTCAGCATCGTCTGCGTCGCCTGAGTCTGAAAAAAGAGAGCAGAGGTCATCACTGTCTGTAAACAGCCACCATCATCCTCACYGGGGAGTTTGGTGATGAGGGGATCCGATCAGGACTGTGTCACCTGGTAACAGTTTTCATCTCTGTCATAAAAAAAAAGCTGGGCTTTGTTTACAGAGAGGGGCTAGTAGACGTTTGAATCACTGTACTGAACTTTAGAGCAGCAGATRATAGGCTGATGTTTCTTCATTTTTAAAACAGTCCAAATCCAACAGCAGCAGGGGCGGTTCTAGGGGCGGGGCCACAGGGGCATTGGCCCCTRCTGAAATTTGATTGGCCCCCTGAAGTGCCCCTGTCCTCTCACTCAATCTGTCCTTTGCCCAAGAGTGATGATGCTGGATGCAGTTCCATGTCCACACACTAGAGGCGCTAATGAGCCAAATAAAAAAGTCTAGCATAAATCAAGCTGACAGGTTTTTCTCTGTTCTTAAAATTTGAACAATCCTGCAGAAAAGGTATTTCAACTCATAAATGATGGCTGGATTCTCTCACATGCTGTKTGTTATGGAGTATTTTATCTATGTACTGTAAAAATGCATGTGAAATTGGTAAGGGGAATGTACTGTGCAAGCTTTTTTAAAATTACAAGTGTTTCAATGTGTGACTGGTTAATATRCACCTTACCAAAACCATGGATTTGTGTTCAAGGATGCTGAAAAAAATACTTGGCCCCTCTATGAATATTGTGGCCCCTTGATGGCCCCTTACTTAGAAAAAAATCCTAGACCACTGAACAGCAGGTGTCCAAAATACTGATCAGGCGACATGTTTTAAACGCTGTCGCCCCAGGAGATCTAATTAGAGGGCATTTACCTGACCCCGAAGATCTAAAACCACTTTGATTCAAATCCAGCTCCAGTCCTTTATCCTAAATCCTGTCATGACTCATGTAAATATAGAAACTTAGGTTACCAGAAATAAAACAAAAGCATCATTTCACACAAGTATCAGCCCGACAACAATAATTGTTTTTGTTGAAATCAAAGATAGAATAGTTGTGCGTTTGATTTATACCAAAAATATCAGTAATATAAGTCAGAAATTTAAGTAGAATGTCAACACTTAGCACCATTTTTGTTACAAAACAACTATTTTTTTTATTCTAGAGAAATTTGCATTGATGAAGCATGTTATCAGAGGCTTTGGTGAAATTTCCTGCAACTGGAAGCCTTCTGTAATCTAACTAAACAAGAATATCATCCTAAAACATACCAACCTGGAGGTATCTAATATATCCAGGGGTCAGTCGAGGGATGCGAAAAAACATTGTTGTTCACTCCGGTGCTTGTACCGTTGAGACTTGCTGCAACTCTCCCTCAGGACTTCTTCCCTCTATCCCACAGCTCCTGTGTTTGTCTTCTGTTTGCTCCGCCTGGCTCAGTGTGGTGGCTGCAGCAGCTCTCCCTTGACTTCACAAACACACTCCTCACCCAGCCAGGAACACTRAGACACACCTGCGTGAGGATCCCCTCTGGAGGAATCCAGTCTCTGCAGGCTGAATATAAAGCCTCGGCTTTGTTGCCTTTACGTAAGCTGATAAGTTTGTCTTTGTTTGTGTACCTGCATCTGTGTCAGAGATGGATTAGTGGGGCCATTGCAGTGGATTATTATATGTGGAAGAGGGGTCAACTTCTGCTTTGTCATCCCATCATCAGATGGCAACAACACTTTAGTGACGTCTGCTGAGTCAAGCTTAAGMAGTTTTAACAATTAGGAACAATAAAAGGTTATTACAAATCACTGGGAAAGTGGTCTGCAGACACACAAAGGACAAAGCAAACTTGAATTTTATGCCACCTAATTTTGTTTTCTGCACTTAAAAAGGCTTCAGTCATTTACAATATGCATTCAAGATAAAGATAAAAAAATAGTGGTTACAACAGTGTAATAGTTTATACTGGATAGCATGTGAAAAACTTAATTTTTACAATACAAAATATAAACTGTATTTGAAGATGCTATGGGGAAAAATGATATGCAGAAAATGTCCACTTTTCTTTCAACACCTCAGTGTTACTCATATACTGTATAATTTTCAAAGAAGGCTTAAAGTTGTATTTTATTACTACTTTTTAAATTTTTATTTGAACTACTGAAGTAGCGCTTCTAAAACAATCAAACTAAACTAAACCCTATTTTAAAACCAGTTATGATAAAATGAATGTTGACTGTGAACATTTTCCCAATGTCAGATAAATTGTTCCTACAATCTAAAAGCACCAATTACAGCCTGCCACAATCCTCAACTAATTAGTGATGCTCCAGAAATAAACACATCAGTACTATTTCCATAAACTGAAGTTAAAGACATCAAAACCAAGGAATGTTTCGGGTGACATCCAGAAATGTGTTATGTGAATATTTCCACAGAAAATAATTATTATTCTACAAAATTTACCCCAAAACATTTCAGCTGACTTTATTTGATTGAAAACTCATTCAGCTACTTGTAAATTCAACCCGAATTCTGCCTCATAAGTGTTTACGTGACTGTCAAATTATTAATATTGACTTCTCATATTGACACAGCTACCAATCATAACCTTGACATTATGTGACATAAATGTTCAAATTCATTTATTTGGATTAGGTTTTTTTATTTGCTTTATCCATAAAAACTGTTTGAAACATATAATAACGTTGAATGTTGAATAAAACCTTCAAATGAAGTTATACTGCACATACTTAACAAAAAAAAAAGAAAAATAAAATGAAAATATATTCATTGCAGTGACATTTTAAATCAAGAGACTTGACTTCAGCTCGTCAGAAATGTTGAGAGTAATGGACCGAGCAGTCATTTCCTGTTTTTATTTTTGAACAAACAACTTCGCTTTATGGAAAAGTACTGATGTGTTTATTTCTGGATCATATTAAGACTGATCAGTTGAGAATTGTAGGCTGTAAGTGGTGCATTTAAACTGTAGTAACATTTATCTGACATTGGGAAAATGTTCGGTCAAGATTAATATTATTACAATAGTAATGTTCATAATTCAGGCCCGAGAGACAAATTGAAAAGGCATTATTTGAACAGCCTGCTTTGTCGTTACGTCATCATTGTGCGCCTCGTTTCAAAGAAGGACCCGTGGACGCTCTAAAAAAGAGATTGCGGGCTAATATTTTATGCAGGTTTCCTTTCAAAAAATAAATTCTAACTAAAGTATTTTTAAAACTATGTCGCCGTAACCTTCAATCGATGTTTTTTCCCCACAGAAGAGAGCAGTTTTTCTTCTGAGCTGGTAAAAAAATGACTGGCTAATATAGCAGGCTAACAGCTAATGCTTCGCAATTTTGTTTCATTAAGACACCTACGAACACACTGGGTGTTTTCTCTAAAGGGATTCTCGGAGACTGAAATGGGCTTGTCTTCAAGATATTTAGAACATAATTCATAGGTAACATCTTAAATGTGCAAGAGCTAGCCAGATTTCAGTTTCATTTTGTTCAGTTTTGGCAAAGTATTTTACAAGTGTTATTTTATTATTATTACTTATAGTCCAAAATCAGCTTAGCCTTCTTTGGCTGTAATTCKATTATATGAAATACATTAATCTGGAAAATAAGTTACAGTTAACCTTTGCCAAGTCGTGTTTTTCCCCCCAGTTAGTTTAGGTTCTTGATAACTCTTGTGTGTGTTGTTTTGCAAATGGGAAAGCAATATACAGTCACAAAACACCTCAATATACACGTGTTTCACATTAAGTCAGTACTTTTCGTTAATATTGTTTCACCAGAGAAAAGAGTACAGTACGTCTTTGATGTCAAAATAATTTGATATGAATAAAGTTACAGTAAATCAGTACTTGCACTTTGTTAATCTTTACTAGTTGTCACAGTTGCAAACATCGTTTAAACATGTTTAAAGATTAATTTGTTATTCCAAAGTGATGGGTTGTAATAATTGAAATATTAAATTACTGTTTTGAAAAGAGCTCATTTGAAATTTTAGTGTATAATTTTTAATATTTGTTTTATWAATTTTCATTCAGTTCTGACCAGACAGAGTTGCAAACATATAAGAGCTTTTGTTGCAACATATATGTATTTATTTTAATTTTATATTTACTACTTTTGATGTTTCCTGTTGTGTTGTTTAACACACTAGGCATCAGTGTTCGGTTGCCTTATTGTTGTGTTTAATGGGTCTTCTGTGTCAAACCAATATCTTGATGTATCCCACATTGGCAGCAGGGTCTAAACATGTTCCAAAGACAACATCCAGTTACACAAGTTGAATGTTATGTGAATACATAGGCAAAAGAACTGCAGTGAAAATAAAGCTGCWGTGTATGCATTTTCAAATTATATAACAAACAGAACAAAAATGTTTGTATAAAGTTTAAAATCAGTACTAGTTCAGCATTTTGCGTTGTGCAGCACGCTAGCTTTTTTTCTTTTAAGTGTGACTAGAAATAAAGTTTTGCATGTCAGTTTACATATGACTGCACTTGCATGCTTATGTAAAACTTTTAAACTCCAAAACAAAACAGCACATTAACTTTCAACTGAATGTATTCACTAAGCTAAACCACAGTGATCCAACTCCACTCTTGTCAAATAAGATTAGTTACCTGCAAGGTGTTGAGAGGGTCCAACAGTGTCCTAAAGAGCTGAAAAGAAACATCTGTCCTCCATATCTTCCTAACAACCAATTATTGGCTTTGTATGAAAAAACCTTAATGTGATGTTAACACTTGGCAGAAATATTCTTGTCAGTGTGCCTAAATTTGTTTAATAATAACATAATCACTCATTGCTTGTACAGTAATATTACTGCTTCTTCTAAGATTATCTGTTAGGATTGTTTAGCTTTTTTGTAGAGTTACTCCAAAATGTATATTTGGTTCAAAATCAGAATCTTGAAAGGCGTACCAATTTATTAAACGTTTGTTATCAGTCTGAATCTGTGTTTGGGTTCCAAACTTGGGGATGTTGTGGACCCAAGGAAGAATAGTCTCTGCTATGGTGGGAACTAATGGGATACTTTAAAATAAATAGATAAATAGACTTAATGTATTGACTCTTCTCTCTGTTGTCTACTCTGCTCCTTTTCAGGTACAATGAAGAGAAGAGCTGATGTAGCGTTTGTACCGCTGCAGGGGACAAAAAGGCATCGCGAAGAGAGTAGCTCAGATGAAGAGTCACAATCACGACAAGGTAGTGGATACTCTACTCTTCATAGTAAACTAGTGCCATGTTTTAAATTCAGATTTAATATAGTACATGGTCATTTTAAAAGTCGTCTTTGCGAACAAGAATTTTATCTTGATTATCTAAAAATTTCACACCTTGTAATAATTTTTAGTATGAATTGCTATGATTAAAAATCATTATTTTTTTACATTTTTCATGTTGATCAACTTTTTAAATAAGTTGAAGTTTGGCTTCTTTTAACTATGTCTTTTTAATTCTAGTTGTTCATTGTTTTTTTTTTTGTTTTCTTTTCTATCCAGACTCCAGCCAAAATGAGTCCCTCAGTGACCAGGAGGATCACAGACCTGGGTTCTCCATGCCCTCCATATCATCACCATCCTTTGATTCCAAAGACAACGATGACGCCACTCAGACCTCGAAGTTCTCCATGTACAACAGYGTATCACAGAAACTCATGGTAACGAAATTAAAACCAGCTTGAGATGTTTTTCATCCTAACTATTTAGAACTACTTATTTATAACATTTTTTATTACATTTTTCTTTTCTTGAGATATTGGGCCTCATGCAAGAACATGTTCGTATTCTTATCCTAAATTTCTCTTACTTTTGTTCGTACAAAGGGTTCGTATGAACATGTCACGTCAGATTCAACAAACTCTTCTATCTTCAGGAAACTCTCCACCCCAGACTGAAG